TATGGCCTCCTTGATTGTCATACTTCTTTCTCTCCTTCAAAAATTTCTGGATTACACTTGTCCCGTGTCAGCGTCAGCGCTCTCCTATTGTGAAGATATGTTTTCTTTTTAAATTGTAGGAAATTTCAGGCTAATAAAACATGATATAACTCAAAAGCAAGCACAATTTGATGCAAATAGGTGTTTGTGAGATAACCTCAAAATAGAGCACTGACACGGAGAAGTAGAAAACTATGACAATCAAGGAGGCCCTAAAGGCGCCCTACAATTGTAGGGTGCGTTTATAATAATAATAATAATAATAATATTTATTCACTCAATGTACAAAGATAACAAACAATATGAGTAAATAAATATAAAATCAAAACAGGCCCAATAGAAGGCATCGCCTGTACATGGACCAATAAATTTAAGTTGAAACTGTAGAATGCAAATGACAAAAAAGGACAAAAATTAGCTACAGTAGATTATGTATTTAGTTGATATTCGTATTTATGAGTTTATGAATTTCAGTCCTAGATATACTTAGAATGTAGCCACTTTTTTAAATTTCTTTTGAAACACTGGATATTATTGATATTGGTCTATAGTTGTTAACATCTGTTTTTGTTCCTGATTTATGTATCGGTATTATATTACCTTTTTTTAAAATTGAGGGATATATGCCAGATTCAAAGCATTTGTTGATTAGGTAAGTGAGTGGTTCTGTTATGTCCTCGGCTATAATTTTCAAATGCTCGCTTTTAATACCATCGAACCCAGGACTTTTCCGATTTTTTAAGGACATAACAGTGGTGTATACTTCACATTGCTCGACTTTATCCAAAATAAATGAGTTCAAAGTTCTTTTTGGAGGCTGAGTATTTTGTACATTCGCTTGTATATTACTTGCTGAATTTTCGCCTATGTCAGTAAAGAATTGTACAAATTCATCGCATATCTGTTTAGTATTTTTTAATACTGTTCCCGATGTTGTATTTAACTTAGTGACACACTCTTTAACTTTTGTTTTCCCAGTAATCTCATCAATAGTTGTCCAAAGCTGCTTAGGATCATTTAAGTTATTATTCAATTTATTTACAAGCTCTATAAATTTATTTTTATATTGGTTGTAGCAGTCGGTATTCTCTGTAGTTGGCGTTAGTTTCATTACAATATATAGTCTTTCTTTTTCTATTGCCGATGTTATTAATCCTTTGGTAATCCAGGCATTTCTGCTTTTCTCTTTGTGACTAATTATTACTTTATTGGTACTAATATCTATTAGTTTTTTTATTTTCTCTATGAACAGTCCCGTTGCTTTGTCTATATTATTTATAGAGTATAATTGTTCCCAGGATTCTTGTTTGACATTTGATATTAGTTTTGAATTGTCGACAAAAAATTTGTAATTTTCCTGGTTGTTACTAACGGTAGGGATGTTAGAATGTTTTTCATTTGAAGATATCAGTAAAATAGTGGAGAAGTGGTCAGTAATATCGCTCTCTAGAATTATTGGTATACAAGTAATTTTTTCGGATAGGTCTTTCACAAAGCAGTGATCTATACATGTGCCACTGATGGACCTTGTAGGTAGGTTTATATAGGACAGAAATCCGTTACTTGATACGATATTCAAGTATTCATTTTTGATGGGATCATCGTCCAAAATACTTATATTGACATCTCCCAAGAAAATATGTTGCTTTAAATGAACTTTATTTTGATTTTGAAAAAAAAATTCGATATTCTTCAAAAACTCGTGGGGTTCTGAACATGGCGGACGATAAATTGCAGATACCTCAATTTTGTTATGGTTAATTTGGATCATTATGTTTAAAATTTTGATTCCATCGGTGAAAGTGAATGTATCATGATTATATTGCAGTTTATTTCTTACAAAAACTATCACCCCATCGTTTTGGTTATAAGTGCCAAAGTTATACAGCGTGTCATATCCCTGCTGATTGAAGCAAGAAATATCAGCCACTTGCCACGTTTCAGTTAAAACTATTAGATCAAAATTGTACCATATTTGGTCGAGTAGTATTTTTAAGTAATCAATGTTGTGTTTTATACTCCTTATGTTCATATTAAAAATTCGAAATTTTGCATCAGAATTTTGTGTACATAAATTAAGTTCATCGACGTTTTGTGCTATATTTGTTGCAATACTTGGAATTTGGATATCATTAATGTATTTATTTACTGACATTTTTAGGTCCTTTTTAGAGATAGGAGTAGTAAAAGATGAACTTGAATTTTAAAAAAGTATCCTTAAGTTTTGTTGTTCCTGAGAATATTTGTACGATGGACAGTTTTTGTCGGTAGGTGAGTGGTTATTATTATAATTTTTTTTATATCTTTTATTTCCATATCTACAGTTGCAGCATTCTATTGGTACATGCTTACAATTTTCTTCTTCGTGACCGTTGCCACAGTTGGCACATATCTTCTCATTCCTGCAATTCTTTTCTGTATGATTAAACCGGTAGCATTTTCTACACTGAGAAATGTCGTTATTTTTATATACTGTCAAACATTGCCATCCCAGAAGTATTCTTCTATTATTGTCTTCGAAGATTTTTTTGAATAGCTTTCCAGAAGTTTCCGCGTAGATAGTGTAATTGTTTCTTGATGGAAAATATTTGATAAACTTTACTTGTATGTCTCCACTCTGAATCATATAATTCTGATGTATAAGTTCTTCTTCAATTTGCTTTTCATTCGGTTTCTCACTACTTTTATAATTTATTATTTTAATTTTTGGATTTAACATTTTCGGCTCAGTAACTTGGTATTTTTCATTCAATTTATTTTGAAGTTCATCTTTCAGTTTATTATGGTTTGATTCATCAATTTTTATATCAATTCCGCCATTTTTTGAGTTTCTCACACTTTCTATTTGAATGTTCAGAGATGAAAGATTTATTCTCTTACTCAATTCTCTTCTCGTATTATCGCAAGATTGTTTTTCTTTTGGAATAACTGTGATGCATTTCAGTGATTGCCTTTTAGTAATAGGTGTCGTTTGTTTTAAGATTTGTGCGTATGAATTTTCTTTTACTAATTGGTTTTTCTCAACTTCGTCGAGTCTCATATTAATTCTATTTAATGCTGATGCGATGGCATCCTTCTCAGTAATACTTGCGGTTATTGACAGTTGCTGCTCTTTTAGTTTTAAATTTTCGTTCGTTTTCTTATGTAGTATGGATCAGGAAGAACAAACTGTCAACTTGTCAATTTTAAGTCACTCCGAGGTTATATAAATATGGCCGAAAATGACTGAAAACTGTAAAATCCGCTGCACCAATGTATCCAGACCCGTACTTTATCCTTATAAATGGAAACTCTTCGCCAAAAGGTTATTTCATGGACTGTGTACCAACCAAATTCTTGACAAGGTAGGACGAGATCGTTTGCTTGTTTACTACTACTACTATATAGGTATTAATGACATATATGGCCTCCTTGATTATCATACTCTTTTCTCTCCTTTAAAAATTTCTAGATTACACTCGTCCCGTGTCAGCGTCAGCGCTCTCCTATTGTTAAGATATGTTTTCCTTTTAAATTGTAGGAAATTTCAGGCTGATAAAACATGATATAACTCAAAAGCAAGCACAATTTGATGCAAATAGGTGTTTGTGAGATAACCTCAAAATAGAGCGCTGACACGGAGAAGTAGAAAACTATGACAATCAAGGAGGCCATAAAGGCGCCCTACAATTGTAGGGACGACTGACGATACGGGCCTAAGACACAGCAAAATATACCAATTCACTAAAAAAAATGGGTTTGGTCATCTATGGGAGGCGCCCCACCTACATTCGCCAATGCTTAGTGGATATGTGATGATACATGGACATTATTTCAAACTAAAACAATTTTCTGTGTTCTTATAGGTTGATACGATCTTGAAATATACACCAAGGAAAAACAAAGATGTCTGGTTTACGATGACAGTCCTACTGACGTCAGGAATCATTTTTGCTACTGACATATGCGTATGGTGCAGTATCATGCCAGGCGACCAAATAGCGTCGTATATTCTTCACCAGCTGCCAATTTATTTCACCTACTATGTACATATGCTTGCAATAATCAACTTTCATTTGCTGGTTCAAGTTCTCAGTTCGAGGGTTGTGTTTTTGGGCGAGTCACTACAGGAACTCGGTAAATTCAAGATATCTACGTCTATCGTGCTTACAAAATTCTGTATAGGAAGCCAGCTTCAAAGTGTTTTAGGTAGGAATGCAAAAAATCTACATATATACGGTGTCTGCGTAAGGTTGGAAAATCTCGATACTGGAGATATTACAGAAAAAAATATGTGAATTTAAACATACCTAAGTCCAAAAGTTGATAGTTTCCGAGATACAGGGTGTCAAAGTTACAATTTTACTTTATATTTCTTGAGAAGTATTTAAGATTTTGGCATAAAACTTGGTATAGGGAGATTTTCGAGTATGAGAAACAAGAATCTGTTATTTTTTATGGCCAAACTTCTAGAGCACTATTTCGGTAAATGGCTTTTCATAACTTTTTTGTGCTACCCTGTATACAACAACTGACCGAACAATCTTATTTTCTCGTATTTCCACAACAAAAGAGGTTTATTTGTTAGAAGTGTCCAAAGCTAATAGTTTTCGAGATATTTGTTTTTAAAGCATTGCATCTTGCCAGTCCGTACATTAAATGGATATCAGAATATTCATCAAACGTATACTCCATGATGTTTGACGACTTATTGTCAACTTAAAATTATTCATGAAGGTCAAAGCAATACGAGCCCCTTCCCACTTCAGTTGGCCCAACTATTGAAATCTTAGTTTTTTTCTTATCAAACACAAATAATAAAAATGTAGCAGGGTTTTATAGGTTTAAAATATTAACAATGAATATTTTGATAATATATAGTAGTAAACACCAACTTTATCACTCCCTAATCAAATTTGCAGCATAAAAATAACACATGTTGCAATTACAGCATATCAACCTATTTTCATTTCAATGCAAAATAAGTCTATAACGCATGGGTGGCTGTGAAAAATAAAAGCCATGACAATTGTTTTTATTATTGCAACTTTGTTAGACTTATCGCGGTACAGTGTGAGAAATATTGTTAGAAGATATAACGTAACTGGTTCAGTTAATATTCAGCCACGATATGTGAAAAAAAATAATATCACAAATGCCGACCGAAGAGCATTAAGAAGAATAATCGTGAAAAACAGGCGTTCCAATTATGTACAATTAAGTGTTCTGTGGAGTGACGCTGTTGGAAGGAGAATTTCGAGGTCCACAACTCATAGAGAGGCCCACAAACTGGGATTTAGCACTTGCAAGGTAAGTTTTCTTATAAAAAAATGTGAAGTAAAAACCCTAAAGTTGCACAACTTGTTTATATGCCAAAGAAAAGCCACTATTAACTCCACTGCAAAAGAAAAATCGGCTTAGATGGGCTAAAGAACATAGACAATGGACACCTCAACAATGGAGTGCAATACAATGGAGTGATGAGGCCCGATTCGTAGTTTGCGTTGGTGACAGTCGCAGTAGAGTTATTCGCAAAAAAAATGAAGCATTCCATGTTGACTGTCTGAAGAGAAAAGTGAAATTTCCAGCTTCCATTATGGTCTGGGACAGTATGTCATCAAAAGGAGTAGGAAAACTTCATTTTGTTGATGGAAATATGGATACAAACAAATATTTGGCACTTTTAGAGGAATCGCTTTTACCAGTGATGGAAGAATGTTTGACATCCGGCCAAGATTTTGTGTTTCAGCAAGACGGTGCAGCGTGCCATACCTCAAAAAAGGCTATAAAATGGATGGAAGAAAATAATGTACTACTTTTGAAATGGGTTTCTAGCAGTCCAGATCTGTCACCTATTGAGACTTTGTGGCACGAGATGAAAAAGGTTCTACGACAACACCCTGCTCGTACAATCACCGAACTGACACAAAAGCTTCAAGAAATATGGCATTGTTTTACACCTAATTTTTGCGAAAACTTGGTTAACACTATGCCCCAAAGAATTTCAGCCGTAATAAAAAATAAAGGTGATGTTACCCAGTAGTAATCTTTCAATTGTTGCTTTGTTAACTTCGCATTTATTCGCACATTGTTTATTTGCTCAGATATTGTATTAGTTATAGGTCTAAGTGATTTCAAATATGTATTTTTTACGACTAGAGTGTATCTAAAATGTTTTTGAGAAAATAAATTGTTTTAGAAGTAAATAGTTTCGTCATGTTTAGTTTATAAAGGCATATTTTGGTACAAATCTTGAAGTGGGCCAACTGAAGTGGGAAGGGGCTCGTATTCAGGCACCCCACATACGAGGGTTGTTCCAAAAATATGGTTCCGCTGTAACTTTACCGCGTGTGATGCGGTAGGCGAAATCTGGAAACCCCGTCGTATTTGTCGGCTCCTCCACCACCAATCCCAACAAGAAGCGCCTGTTGGCGACGCTCAGTAGCGGCCTGACAGCCATGCGCCCTTCAACACCAGGCGGTTAATTCGTGCGGTCATCTGATCCTCTTGTCTCACATCAAACGAATGACTGAATCGAGCGATTTGGCTGGGAAGTCATCGGCCAACCCACTTACAGCCCCGACATAGCGTTTCCAGAATTGAAGGAGCATCTAGGAGATCAACGTTTCTAACGACAAATTAGTTTTTTGGATAAAAAAATTCTTTGTGCCTGAAAAAAATGTGGGAACCATATGCATACTACAACCCTCGTAAATACTCTATTTCGCGGTTAATTGAAAAATTTAAAAATTTACAGACAAAATTTAGCTTCTATAGAATAACTAGGCCGACGTTTTTGCACCATTGATTGTCAATAAAAATGACATGATTTAATTTACAGGTACGCGAAGATTTGATATGGTGCGCATATATGACTTGATGTATCAGGCTAGCGTGTGTCTCAACAACTACTATGGATTAATGATCCTGGTAAGGCGCCGTTCCATTCTAACTAGGAATCATTAGTACAACATAGATCATGACCTATATCAAGTTACTATTTTGTGAACACAATGTAAATAATACCAAAATATCTTCTTCCAGTTGGTCCTTCTAGGTTGTCTCCTGCATCTGCTGGTCACACCATACGATTTGTACTTGGCCTTTCTCGAGAAAAATTGGAGTAACACTTTCATATTTCTACAGTCTATATGGACGTTTGGACACATTATGAGACTCTTTTTGATAGTCCAACCCTGCGAACAGATTGGCAATAGGGTACTACAAAATTTCATTTTCTTGCTATAATATGAACAGGTATGTTTTCAGCTGGAGAAACTTTCATCAATAATAATCCGGGTACTGTGGTCGGAGCATCGGATTGACGTCAATCAGGTGGGTAGGCATGGACAGTTTCAACTGTATTAATAGAGTAGGGCAGTGTGCATTTCATGGTAATGTAGAGGGAAAAAAAAGGGTAGTGACTTTCCGACATTAATATTCCTTCTCAGAATGCAACGATAAAAGGCATGTCCCTTTGAACAACCTACATTTCTACTATGGTCCGAAATAACCAGAAAGTAGAGAAACATCAAATAAAAAATTTAGATGTTGATCCCCATGAGTACTACGTCAAAAAACAATCAACAATTCTAAAAACATTCATGAAATTAAGTTTATTGACGATCTCAGATTTAAGCATTTAAGGTGTTCTATCATTGGTATGGCAATATTTTGTTCAGTATTCAGTAAGTTGTGTCAAAATTGTCAACAGTAAGAAGTAATGGAATAGAGAACCTCGTAACTTTTTCGCTGAAGTTATTTTAAAGACCCTTATTCTGACTCAAAGCAGTCATCCACATACAGAATCTGTATGAACTACACTGAAAACCAAATAACACTGACGTCGTAATATATACGAGAGAAATGCGCGAGAATCGTGTAATAAGTGTGTTAGAAAGAGATAGAAGCACCCCGTTGTCTAGCAATCCGAGTACACATTACGACGTCAGCCCAATTTGAACATCAACGTATGATGTAATTAAGCACTTTAGTGTTGAACAATGCAGATGTTAGCGCAGCTAATAGCGCTGAAATCATAATCCGGCCCTGTACCGCTGTGTCTGTTGCTCCACTCACCAGACGAATGTTAGCCAAAGAGATCTTACTGGCCCTATATTGTAGCCATATCATATGCATTTCATGGTTTGACAAAGAAAATGTCAGTCATAGTTAAAAAGTAAAGCAATATCGATCTTTGATCTAAACCGTCGACCACTCCCCGGCATTACTAGTTACTCTTGGCGGTTTGACTGGGCTTTGAACTTTGATAGTACAGGGTCCGGCAAAATGATCTCCCACTTTTTGAGCTTTAATAGAAAAAAAATCTGCTTGTTCACACACTCAGGCGCGAAGTGAGTACAAGAATTTCTTCGAGTAGTAATCACAGATTCGTTACTTGTATAAATGTTTCGACAACTCAAACGGCAAGGCGCGAGATAGCAACCGACTTTGCTAAGATCCCCCTCTCCAGTGATTTGGGCACAGTGGCGGTGCAAAATGTGAGAGATCATTTTGCCGGACCCTGTAATGTATATGAACTGACCTGATTGTGGTAACTTTGTTTTGTAGCTAGGAGTTTTAACCATGCAAATGCTTCATTGCCCAATCAGGTTCACTGCAGCTGGATTGACAAAAATCAACAGAAGCCTTATCACTTCAGTAAGTTTAAAGTTGTGATAAAGACCAAGCGTTTGTTTTCATTTATTATTCATTTTCAGATTGTAGCTGGTGTGTCTACATATTTGGTTATTTTATTCCAGTTCAACAATACAGAAAAATGAGCAGTGGTAACCTAGAGTATTGTAAAAAAACGTTGTTTTTACTATTCAAAGTCTAATGTATTTCTATTACACTAATTTACAACAATTGGCAAATTCATAGCTGATTATCCCTCTGGTGATCGATCGACGTTTCTCGTTCGCTCTCGATGTCGACTGATCTCCATGACTATACCACTCTTGAGGCACGGTGACGTAATACTGGTTGCCTAAGCGGCGATATTCCAAAGACTGAAGGTCTCGGTTACCAAAACGTTACAGTATTCTTCATCATAACTTTACAGTTGGAGCTAATATTTAAAAAAAAGATCTTAACATGCTGAATGTACAACTCGTAATAATAAATGTATAGAATACTTGTAGTGGCATATTTTTCATAAAAATATCATTTTGACGGAATATTAAAAGTTCACCTCCAAAAGGTGCCAATCCAAGTGCTGAGCTTGTCCTGACAATTCGAACGTAATTTCTAGAGGGAAGTAATAAGATCTTTAGCGCGTTGTACACAGAATGTGACCCTACTTCTGCCATGGAGGTTGACTACTGTCAGCCGTGAGGAAAATAACCTTAACTATCTTATTCACACAACTTGACATGGAATGTCACACTCTGCTGATATCTGGAATAGATATCAAATCCGAATCCCTGAAAAAATAAAGTCTCTGAAACGTCAAAAAACGAAATTTGAGTGACTTTTAATTCGTTTTTTACCCATTCGCCGTCACTGGGCCGATTTTCAAAGATTATAAAGCTTTCTCCACCTTGGCGTAATAGTCACCTTGTGTTAACAATTTATCAAAATCTGAGCGGTACTTTCCAATCTATAAACGGGCCAAGGATTGGACAGAGAGACAGGCCGATGGTTTTTCGTGATGTACACATCATACAACGTCCAAAAAACATAATATCTCATTTTCGAAAAGACGAGAGATAAGCCACAACGTCTGTGCAACAAAGAAGTTGCAAACAATCTATGTGTATTTCAGTTAATGATAAATGTATGGTGGAGAACTACACCCTTCAACTTAGATTGCTGTAGCCTATTCCAATAATAAAAACTTTTTTTCTCAAAAACGTTTTTTAATCCATATTTTTGATGGGAAAAGACAAGGATTTGAACGTATTTCCACCTGGTTCGTAGTAGTAACAGCATGAAGTTTCTATGGGTGCTTGCGTCGATTGGTCCCGCAATCAGGCTCTAGTAATCCTGGCTATCTACCTGCCATCCTGAAGTTTTTCGGTATAAATTAAATAGGATTTTAAGCTTTACAATTTGAAAAAGTATGCAAAAGTATTTTTCTTTAGCTTATACGGAATAATACTACAATATCACTTAGTCCTCAAGATTCATGACATCAAGGAGTCTAGTCTCAAAGAAAGAAAAAAATCATAAGGTCATTGTTTTTTTCTCGCCGCAAAATTAATATTCTGCGTACGCATTCCTACGTGTGCGTTCTTTGTTATCGAAACCTTCGATCTTAACACATCCAATCTATTATTACACTTTGCTTACAAAATGCTTTACTCACCTTAACAAAATAATCTAACAATCTCACTCCTAATTTTATACTATTCTAAACATGATGTTGTACACACTTTCCCAGCGTGTGAAGCAACATGTTTTGTTTTTGCTTCAAAGACAAAACTGCAGCAGTTCTTATCGCATTTTTAAATTTGGTAAGTTATATGTCAAGCTTTAATACTAGAAAGGGCTTTCGAGGATCTTTGAAATATGTCACAAATTATATAATGTCGCTTTAATCAGATTGTACTTCTATGTTTCTAGATTGTTGGAGTTATGGGGATTTTCTATTTTACACCAAAGATCTATTATGAAAATAATGATTTGGATAGTGACTATTTATGTTTCTCAGTAGTAACCTTAATTGCCGCTGGAAGCCTAGCAAGTGCTTTAATTTGGGTAAGTGTCTTAGAGGGGCGTTCTTCAATTACGGTGTTCAGCAGGCAGGGGTCAAGCTGAATCTCACCTAAATGTAACATATTTTTCCCCGCAAAAAAAATATTTCTGAAAATTGGGTGAAACCAAAGAAAAACAAACTTATGTGCGCAGGCGACACTGATTTAGAGTTGCTTGATCAGAGCAATGTTGAAGAAGGTGACGATTTTATTGAAAATCACATGGAAATGATGGTTCCAAATAGTGACTCTTAAGACCAGACATGAGTGTCCATAGATTGAATTAAAATAAATATTCTTTTAGTAATGCTAGTAGTTCTTATTAAAGTCTTTTGTTGATGAATTTATCAAGGTAAGTTCAGACTACGGTGCAAGCAATCCTAAAATCTAGTCTTCTTTGCTGTTGAACGAAAATAATGACGAATTTTTGTGTTGTTTAAAGAAATCCAACACATCTCTCCTAAGATTACAAATTTTGAAAAGTCTCGCGTGAGGGGATGATCCAGGGGGTCGAGCCAAACCTCACATAATCCCAAGGGGGTAGGGTGGTCAGAAAATCGTCATAAAAGCCTCACGTAATTAATGAATGCCCCCTTCACCATAGTTAAATACTTGTATACGTCGTCAAACATTCCAAACAACAAATACAGCGTTCAATGGAAATATAGAAGCAAGAAACAGGTAAAGTTGTATCTAATTAGCATTTGTATCTATTTAGGGGAGCTTCAAAATGAAAAAGCTGCATAACTCATCAGACGATACGGCCAAAGGTGCGTCTATGTCTGCACCTGCGTAGAACTATTGCGTGACGTATCCTATCTGAAGATAGCCAACTTAATACTCTGTTTCTATGAGAATTAGAAATATACATTCAAGAGGTTAGTATCTCATAGATGGCCCTGTAGACAACTTTATCAGAGCATATATGATTTAGCTACGATGCTATCTACAAGATACTAACCTTTTCAAAGCAAATTTTTGATCTATGCGATAAGGAGAAACATAGCTGTGATACATTCTTATAAATGGAGCTGCGGTATCCCATTTTCCTCACGGATAGTTTATAGGACGCGGGGACATAGTGTTAGGTTGGCTCTATTCATGTAGAATACGTTAATCAATGGTAGAACCCACCAAAATTAAATCCACACTGCGTTAACGGTGATATACGATGTCTCACGCTCCCCTGTCCTGTCCTGGTACTACGAGGTCTGTAAATTTTTGGTTACCGTCAAAACAACTTCCTCCTGCCTTCAGCTGGTTGGTTACAGGTGTTTAAATGTTCTCGGCTGTCCTAAAATGAGATCCCTTGAAGTGATTTTTCAACTTGGAGAAGAGAAAAAAATCACCAGAACTCAAATCAGGTGAATAAGGAGGCTGATGAGCCACAAGATTGTTTTTGCTGGCCAAAAACTGACTGGTTTATTGACATTGCTGTGTGACAAGGAGCATTATCGTTATGCAACAACCAGTTGTTTTTCATCAGATGAACGGTGGTGTGAGTCAAATTTAACTCTTCCCCTACCATGCTTACTGTCAACTGACTATCTGAATGCACACGGTCACGTTTCTGTCGATATTTTCAACGGTTCTTGAAGATGAAGGCCTTACGCTGCTTTAATCGACTCTCTTCCTTCTGAAAATGCCTTATATCACCAAAAACCCAGAACTCTTGACAAAATGCTACCTCAGTAAAAGTACTGAAGCTTAGAAAGAGTTTCCGTTGCACTGTGCCTAAGTCTGAAGCTAAACCTTGCTCGAAATTGATGTCACTAATTTTTAGAACACAATAAAAAACTAGTTAACTAAAAATATCGCTACGGACAAACAAATGTCTCGAGTGTGTTCAAACTTCTACTGAAGGCACATGTTTCCCCGTGTCCCCTCCCCCGCACCAGATCGAACGCTACGTTGCCAGTCTCATCATTTAATAAATAGACCTCGTAGACTATGTTACAATTATACAGGGTGTAAACGTTATGATAGTCAAAACAATATTTTTTTTAAAGAAAAGCGACTTTAAAGTAAAAAAAATCTGACAACACCGCACTGTTACCGTTTGCGATCGATTGCCGGTTCGATAAGAGTGATGAATGACCGACGCGCTGTTGTCATGTGAGTTTTAAATATTTAATTAGTGAAACTTACCTACTGACTACAAATTTTGGCTTAACTTAGGAAAACTTGATGCCATTTATTTGTTGATTGCCCAGTTTAAAAACGTTTTAGATTAGATTATAAAAATTAGTAAGATTGTGGTGATTGTGGTCGATATAAAGCACTTAACTTTTTGACTCCCCCCCCCCCCCCTATTACCCATTTCAATAATGACTACCATAACGTTTACACCCTGTAGAATAATTTCACCAGTTCTGTATTCTGCATAGAAAGAAAAGCAGTCCGCCAAAATTACAAAATCACAGCACTTAGGCCTCGTTGGATCCCTTATACATCTTCTCCAGGGCTCACTCAGGATTAGATCGTGAAGAACTCCCAGGCTATTGAAAAATTTGCTGGAGATGCCAACCAGCGGACTGTTTCTTGAACTAGTCATAGAATGCTAAGGTTTCCCCAGAATGGATTGATAGCACAGCTGGGCAATCGCACAACAAGTGTTTGACTGCCTCATTCTCCTGTTCTCATTTTCTACCTAAGGAATTGCACCCAATGCCATGTTATAGGGGTGTTTCCTTAGCTAAAGGGTCCAATCGCATCTGTGAAATTAAACAAGTAGTATTTTTCTACTTTCTGATTAGGATATATGAGGAATTCTTTTGCGAATAAGCATACCAACGTATCATTTCACTCGTTCTTGAAAATTTAGTGGATGTGATCTTCCAGCATGACTCCTATATATAGAAGGCACAGAAGCTTTGGGCGCAGAACCGTGTCAGGTGTAATATTACCCTTAGATTGTGAATGACCCTTCATCCAGACAACAGTTATTTTATTACTGGTGGAAGCACCTATAGGTGCCAAATGGAAGTCTGGTACTGTTCTCGTTGTAAGCTCACAGCACTTCTAAGTCAGTATTGCTTGTCTGCTGTCCATGCAGATCCGGATATGTTTGTCTACAAAATTAGTATATGCAATTGCCTCTTCGGCGAAGCTCATGCAGGCAAACTCGACCTGCGTTAGGTTAACGTATTTATCCATAAACCATTTGTGATTCAGATGAAGGCTTTCAACTGTTTAAAAAGTATGCAATGTATCGAGACACTCTTCATCTTTCTATTCTGTTTCAGGAAAAACCTACACTGGTAACAGTCTATCACGTATTACAAATTTCAGTCATGTCGATCTTCGTTGCCCATGCTATCTTTTTCAGAACGACCTTGATTTTATACTTTCAGCTACTGACGCCCTGTCTAGGTAAGTATATTTATCAGTTCGAGATCGGGAGTCACTGGACGTAAATGGCAACATTAATATACTGTTGTTCCCTGACTGTTGTGTAACTTAAGGCCTAGATAACTGGCAACCATGTGAAATTCACAAACGACTCGTCAAATAAACAATTTGAGGCTAAAAAGTTTTGAATAGCTTCTGTCTCCATAAGTTTATAATTCACACTTTTCCTGGGTGCTCTCCACCGTGGCATTTTCCAAGGTGGATTTAACTTGTTACATAGCTTTCCTACGGGAAATATTAAACGGTTCTGTTTAGTAACAAAAGAGCAACGTCTGCCTGAAGTTAAACATTTTTCCAACCTCAATTTGCTTATTTGACTAATCGTCTGTGAATTTGACATGGTCGCAAGTTCTCAAGGCAGTTGGGCAGATATACTTCCAGTGTTGCCATTTACAGTATTTGTGATGCTTGAGTTGTGTAATTTTATTAGTAATACTTGCAGAATTCGAAGGGGTAGGACACTGACGAGTCATTAACTAAATATCGATATAACCACTCACACGCAGATAGGTATAGATAGTACAGATCTACGTAACTGCCTGAGTGGCACACTCTATACCCCATTCGCAGTCCATTCAATCCCAGACAAAACACAACATGCCCAAAAGCGAGATTGTACAGGTCCGTATTTACCTCAGTGGTCTTGGAATAATCTAACAAAACAAATGATTATTTTATAGAAAGAAGTGCACATACTTTTCACAATCCTTTATTCGCTACAATCACTACAGCTTAAATTTGAATATCGATCATATTGTCCAGATCCCACATCTTTGTTTGGATTGTCTCTTGAACATGACGGATACAGTCTTTCCAAATGTTTACCCTCACTCTGTTGATAGCATCATAAAACAAATTTTTCACGTCAGAAAAAAACGTTGAAACGGTGTTATTTTGGTTTTTAGCAGTGGCGGCTCGTGAGGTAGTGCCACGGTGCCATGGCACTACCTTGTCTTCTTCAAAAAGAATATTTTTTTCAATCTTCAATGTTTTACTTTATTTTCTGCTTTTTCATTTTTTTTTTTTTTTTGGTATAAATTATATGAAGTGACAACACTGACAACGTGACAACACCGCAAGCACCCGAACCACGCGAGACGGAAAGCCCGCCTTGACCTGACGTCATCAACTTGTCCCAATTTTGGGCCGGCCCAAATAAAAGAGAGAAATTTTACTAGCATCGCATACGAGCGACAGAGATAACGCTACCCTACACATTTTTATATGAGGTGAAAGACAAGTATAATTTGTGCCAGGCACATCATCAGTCGTAATTCGTTATCAAGTGATATCGGCGGTGTTTTTGTTCGGTCGGTCGTTTCGTTATGATTACGTCTAGTGCTGATTTCGGTCTTTTTTTACCTGAAAAGTGAAAAATACCTTTTTTGTTTTAGTACGTCTAGTGTTAATGAACTGCTCTGTTTTGTGATCATATTTTTTACTGTTTTATTAAAACTAGTGAAAATGAATAAAATCGGGATATTAAAAAACTCATTTAGTGGTTTTTCGCTGGATCAAAAACTGCAAATTAAAGAATTAGGACCGCCAATACCCGATTTAAAAATTGAGAAACAAAGTGGTAGCGGACAAAAATCGCGCTGTCGCAAATTTAATAAAAATGTGTACGATAAAAACAGCTGGATATGTGGTTGTGAAGAAACGAATAAACTATTTTGTTTTGTATGTGTTCTATTTGGAGGTGACGAGACTTGGTCAAAAAAAGGTACAGACGATCTTATACATATATGGGATAAAATGAAGACCCACGAAAAATCTAAAGTCCATATGAATAATGTTTTTAGCTTTTCTATTCTTGGTAAATTAAATATAAGGACTCAACTCAATTCGGCTTATCGCAATGAGCTAATTAAACATAATAATCAAGTGGATAAGAATCGATATGTATTGAATAAAATTATTAATTGTATAAGGTTTTATGGAGCATTTGAGTTAGCCTTAAGGGCGTCACGATGAAAAGGAAAATTCGGAAAACAGAGGCATATTTATGGAGCTGGTGAATTTTAGCGCCGAATTAGACAACGAATTGAAAGTCCATATTCAAAGTGCCAAACTTTTCAAGGGTACCTCAAAAACAACTCAAAACGAGCTTCTTGAGTGCATGCTAGATGTTTATCATGAAGAAGTTAAGAAGGAGATTGCAAATTCTCCTTTTGTTGCAGTAATTGCCGATGAAACGACTGACGTAGCCTGTGAATTTCAGTTAGTTATTATTTTCAGATATTTGTGTAAAGGACAACCAGTTGAGAGATTTTGGAGATTTTACGTCCCCGACGGACACGATGCCAAATCAATCGCTGCATGCGTTTTAAATGTTGTAAATCCATTACTAGATCAAAATCCAAACAAATTAATAGCTCAAAGCTATGATGGTGCGTCTGTTATGAGTGGTGAATTGAATGGCGTTCAAAAAATTATAAAGGAAACTTATCCACTTGCAAATTATGTTCATTGCTATGCACTCCAGTTAAATCTAATTATGACAAGCGCATGCTCTGTCAATAAGCAGGCTAGAATATTTTTCCATAATTTATCTGGATTGTGCTCTTTTTTTTCGACGTCTCCTCAAAGGACAAAAATTTTGGATGAAATAGTTAATTGCAGATTGCCAAGATCTTCCCAAACACGTTGGAATTTTCAGTCATGAGGTGTTCATACAGTTTATGAAAATAGGAAAGACCTGATTGAAGTTATGGACAATATAGAAAGTACTTCACGCGATTCTTCGTCGATTAATCAAGCCAGTGGGTACAAATTAAAGCTGCAAGATACAAATTTTGTATTTTGGCTAAGTATATTCCATAAAATAATGCCACATGTTGAAATTGTCTTTAACCAATTACAAAAAGTATGCACCGATTCTGTTAAGGTCAAAAATGATTTAGAGAATTTTGAAGCAGCAATTCAAACTATACGAGAACAAATGGATAGCATTATTGACGAGATTGAACGAGTGCAGAGAGAAACTGATGAACCGGCAAGAAAAAAAAGGCAAGTTGAAGAAGGCAGCAAAAAACGGGAAGCGTTAGAAATATGCGATGCAGTATTATCGCAAATAAGAACAAGATTTAACTTTTCTGGACATTTAGTTGCTTCTAATTTATTTGTGTCTGAAAAGTTTTCTGTTTATAAACATCAGTTTCCTGAAGCACATTTAAATGACACATGCACACAATTTTCATTTTAGACAAAAACAGGCTTAAAACTGAGTTACAAGTATTATATCAGAGAGAAGAATTGAGAACTACTTCTGGAGCTGTTCCACTATCCATTTTATTGAACGAGGAAGGATTAAATTGTACGTTTCAAGAAACTCTTAAGCTCTTAAGTATTTTAATCACTATACCGATGTCAACATCTGAAGCAGAACGCTCTTTTTCAATGCTGAAACGGATTAAAACTTTCCTCAGAAACACAATGAAGGAAGAAAGGCTTAGTGCTTTAGGAATGCTGTCTGCAGAAAAACATTTTGTTAGTGGCATTGAAAATTTTAATAATAAGGTAATCGAAAACTTTGCTACCAAAAAAGAAAGAAGAATGGACTTCATGTATAGAAAACTTTGAAGTTATAGGTACTTCTCCACACTTGTTTTATAATTTGGTGCGCGTGTGTAAATAGTTTTATTTTTGATTTTTTTTTGGACATATAGATTTATTGAACCTCAAGAACTTTGACCACTAACTATCAGGGGTAAGTTATAAGTTATTCTTTACAATTTGAATCGATTCAAAATTATGGCTTCCATTCTGGCACTACCTCACTGAATTGGCACGAGCCGCCACTGGTTTTTAGCCATTTCGTCAATAACATTAAGATTTTATTTATATTTGTGCTGCCTGAGTAGATAGATAAGTTCTGCTTTGGCCATATTTTCATTGAAACTAATGTCTTTTGATTA